TTTTTTTTTTTTTTTTTTTTTTTTTTTTTGCAACTATCTGCTTGGTCTAATAAAAGATATCACCTCTACCACACTGATGACTCTAACCCAAATGCTCATCTCCATAACTTGTCCCAAGATCCTGATGCAAGAGGCAAGAATTCCTGTGGGGTTTGTTTTACCAGACTAAGGATTTGTTTTAGTCAGTGGGTTCTTCTACTAAACCAAGTGCACGGTTGGGACAGACTTAGAAAAGCTTTTGAATGCAAAGCGTTTTCATCTGTTGTGATCCCAAGATCCTTAGACATTTGAGAACAGAGGCAAAAGCCTGTTCTGCAGGCCTGTCCAACAAATACTAAAATTGCCTTGTGTTGCTGCTATGCTCCTTAATCAGACTACATATTTCAGAGGCGAGAGAGAGAGAAATAGGTGAAGGTCAACCTGAGCTTAAAAAGAGAGCCAGTCGGTTAGTAAGAGACTGTTTTGATTTCCTCGTCTTTTCCTTCTACAATCTCAAGCACAGTACGCTCTTGCTTGAGGCAGGAAATTTGGGGGAGGAAGAAAGATAAAGATCCAGGCAAGATGTGAAGAATAAGGGTCTTTAGTCCTGTTGTTGTCCAGAATATATAACTTGAAGCAGTGGAAATACTGATTTCTTGATGGATATGTCATGTTGAAAAAAGAGTTTTAAATAGCAAATGGTAACTCCTAGCTATTATGGAAGCCTGGGGTCTGCAAAGAGGAAGACCTTGAGCATTTCTGTGTTCCCTGCAAGTAGGTATGCTCCTGGCTCCAGGAGGAAACTGCCAAGGTTAGAAATTGAAAAAAGGAAGCAATAAGTATTTTGGGGAATTCTCTATTTCAATCCTCTTTGTCTATGCAGCCAAATGATACTTTGTCTATGCAGCCTAACTACTTCACAGTTAGGGCGGCTAGGAGCTGGAACAACTACTTCACAGTTAGGGCGGCTAGGAGCTGGAACCAACTTCCAAGGGAGGTGGTGCGGGCCCCTACCCTGGAGATCTTTAAGAAGAGGCTGGATGCCTACCTGGCTGGACTCATTTGAGTCCCGTTTCTTGTTTTGGGGTTTTGTTGTTCTCCCGCCCTGGCGGAGGGTCGGGCTAGAAGATCTACTAGGTCCCTTCCGACCCTAAATCTATGAAACTATGAAACTATACTTCTCACTTATAAGAGTAGAGAGTCTCAGCATGCAAATCCTCTAAGTGATTCATAAAATCCTCCCCTTATGAAGGGAGTCATATTAAAATGGCCTATATGTGTAATTATTCCAACATTGATGAAGCATGGCAACCAAATTGATTCACCAAATGCTGCACAAGCATGGAAACTAGGCCATTTTGATTATACACAAGTGGGCAGGCCTCACCTTTTCTATGCTACAGGGCTTTTATCATTAACATGATAAAATTGACACCATCTCCCACCCCATCCTCATTAAAAAACTAGGCGACTGTGGCATTGATGCCTACACCTTCAGATGGATTGCAGCTTGGCTGAAGGGGTGTACTCAGAGGGTGGTGGTGGACTGGTCATATTTGACCTGGGGAGAAGAGGGCAGTGGAGTCCCCCAGGGCTCAGTCCTTGGGCCCGTGC